CGTTCGTATAAAACAGCTTCTAATAAATTGTAATAATAAAGTATTTTTAATAAAATTTTAAATCGCCTAAACGCGAACACTCCAAAAACTTTCAAATAACAAATTTAAATACCGTAAGCGCCTAATGAGGTAATAAATTGCTTGATTGCTATCTGAACGGAGCCGCCTGCGCCGAGCCTCGCCTATATCCGACAGGATGTCTCGTGCCACATCGGACATATTGACATTCAGTTCATTCCTGAATTAAACAACTGTTGCGGCGCAGAGCCTTCTTAAAACGCAACAGCAAAATCACAAGAATGGTTCTTTTTGCCATTACAAATGGTGCGGCTGCTTAACGACACTTTCTACAAGTACGTTACAAAAGACGATAATAACAGAATCAGGATTTAAATATCCGTTGAGGAATCATAAAAATTGGAAGTATTACATGGAAGCATATTGCTTGCAGTTCAAGTGAGGCGGCGCGGCAGACTCCGCGGTTACGGTACGTCAGTCTATGAAGTCAACTGTCACTGAATGTACTTGCTAATCTAGCGTACGACTAACCGAAGTGTGTCAAAGTATCGGGTGATTCTTACGCTATACATATTTTGTTTGTTAACATAAATTTATATAATTAGACAACGCTGACGTGTCCCAGATATGACATTGACAGGAGGGCGTTACTATAATACTCTGTTATTAGCTCCGATGTCTACTGGCGAGCACTGTACTATGAGAAGATTTAAGGCAGTGACTGTAGTCTATGGGGGTTAGGCTAATCTATGTTTTAAACTCAAAATATGTATACCGCAAGAATCACTCTCACGATCTCAATATCGACTCCCAAGCGACCAAGAGCGGAGCACAGTAATGAACAAATGGTGGAAATAATGCATCTTACTCCATATTATACATTGAAAGAGGGCAGTAATATTGATGTAATTCTGTTATCGAAATTCAGATTAAATAAGGACATTAAGTCAATAATTAACTAAAGTACTTAATGACAGGAGAGATTACTTTTTAATTCAGAATAAATTCCCAAAACGCAGTCGTCATGGGAGTAGATATTAAAGCATAATGGAAACTCAGATTAGTAACATTACTATCGCGTTTGCAAGCTATTCATAAAATCTATTGTGCGCGATACACACAGCGTTTATAGCTTATACGAGATGGCGCTGATCGTAAACAAAACCGCAATAGTAACGCCACAAAGAATCGAGCGAACGTAGAGTAGAGACCGGGCGGGAACGGAGAACGTGGCTGATTTGTATATCTCTAATATTCATCACGAACCTATTGGAAGATTTATAAATTCTCACTGATCTCGATGTTCACAGGTATATTATTTGGATAACGTGGTAAACCAATTTGTTTGATCGGTTTTAATTATTTTCTCTTATAAAAATTTGATTATTTACATTTTACACTCTAATCCATTTATATTTTAACAATTACTTATCAGTAACTGCGTTGTATACAGGCTGTTAGTGTACACGAAACTAGGGACTGTTTATTTTGCTACACAAACGTTTTCAAACAGGTCCTGACTTGATCTAGCCGTTCAAATTAAAAAGAAACTTCGCTATATTTGAACAGCTGTTGAACCCTCAAGAGGTTCCACATATCTAACGATGTATATGTCACCGTAAAATTGTGAACTCTGTCAGTTTATAATATAACGCGTTAGATTGTAAACTAACAGTGGGTTAGGTTAGGTTAGATTGTAATCTAACTACGTCAAATTATAATCTAACGGAATTCACAATTTTACGGTGACATATGTCATAACATATACTAGACTGCAAAGGCTTTGTCTTCGCTCGCTGCTGAGCCAATGTGTGCTGTGTAAAGTGGCGAATGCGCATTCAATAAATATATATTTTTATAAACCACACAGTTCTTATTTGTACTGAGCACACTAGCTCCACAAATACAGTACACATTGAAACCAACAGTTCTCATATTCCGTCGCTCCGCGAAGCCGCTCACAGTAACGGACTAGCCGAGGCCGGCGCCTACCACCTTAACTATACCAATAAATAAAAAGTAAATCCTAGAAATACAAAACATTACACAAACGTACGAAATCTACTCGCTTATCAAAGACTTACTTGCAAAAATTTAAGTCGTATGTGAGGAAGGACCTCTGTATGTACAAATTTAAAAAACCTATGAAGGGTTCCGAGAGGAACAGTACGAAAATATGTGTGCTGTACACTAGATCAAATATTTATATCTTCACTAACGCTAGTGGCACGCGCGGTGGGCAGAAGGCGGATCTTTAGGGAGTGCTCCCAAAAACCTGCTGGCCTTAAGACTATAGGTATTAGATATAGGAACGCAAGTCTTTAGTGCGTACAATACCAAAACACTTATAGGACATCATGGTATTATTGCCACAAGCAACATTAAAAATATTTTATTCGTGGACTAATTTGTCTGCAATCCGTCCCTCTGACAACCGCACGTGTGTGTGATAGAATACATTAGAAAATAAACTTACAAAAGCATCTTACGTACATAATTAATTTATCATTAATTAACAATAAAATTCAATAGGTACAGGAACCCTCGTCTTACGAAGATGCGTGTGAAAACATTATAATCTAACTCCGAATTTGAACAGACTTAAAATTTTATATTTTTTTCTCTTAATAACTCACTTTCGATTCACTGCATGTTCCTAAAACGAGTACGCATAACACAGCAATAGATTTGGTGTAACACAGTGTGGACACGGACACAACTTGATGGGACAGCGGTGCGGAGTCTTGAGTAGTCCTTAGATATCAAATGGGAAGTATTACATGAGCAAACATTTTGCTCCTAGCCACTTAAGTTTACATAAGGAAGGATTTCGCTGAAGCTAAGCCTATCCTGAGAATAGTTTCATTCAATTGTTTCAGGATAGATCTTTCGATTTACCAACCAGAGACGACCGAGGCCAGCTCTAGCGAGCACAAATTGGCTAAGTACGTTATTCTTTTTACTGTCTAGTGTCAAACCTAAACCTCATTCAGCCAGTGCCGCTAATAAATTCGCATCGCTTCAGGGGACTAACACCAGAATCCGCACCAAGAACAAGCTTAAAGTATACCAGAGTAACTTAAAATAACTTGCCGAATTCGCAACCAAACAGATCGCTGCGACTTAACATATCACAGAAAAACAATAGTTTACAAAAATAAATGTGTCTCGGTCTTTATTTATATTATGCTCGACATAATCGCGACTCTAACAAAGCTACAACTACGTACTTGGTAACGTGAAAATATCACTACTGACCACATTCGTACTGTACATGAGACACTGTGCTTTTGGAGTGTCTTGCTTCAAGAACAGACGCGATCAAAATGTTATCGTGAAATGTTTAGATAATAATCTAATAGAATTCATGGTGGATAATTTAAAATTTTCAGCAAGAGAAAGAAAGAAGAAAAGAAAAGTATTTCTTCGATTTAAGTATTTAAAACATTATAAATAAATAACAACTTAAAAAGAGTAAGAGTGATATTATTTTCATTATTTTTCAAGGGTTAAAATATCTTTTTTTAAATGAAATTCGGAGACCAACCGCTGTAATATTAGCCAAGTCCAAGCAACTTGCCGTACATGGCATAATATACATTGTTGTTACACATTGTCACCATATCGCATAGTCCAATGTTCTCACGTACAGTACAAACGTCGCGCTACGACACCGCGGGCCGCGGCAAATGCTCCTTCGATATCTCGAGTTAAGCCTAAGAGGTAGGGTGGGGTTAGGACGTGCTACCAATTTGGAATCAGACTAGTCCCTGGACCCATCATCATACCACTCCACTACTTTTATAATGACTCGATCCTAGGCTAAGGGTAAGACGATGCATCGTCGATTTTATCATGAGGGAATTCGGGGTTATATGTAAAATGTGAAAATATTATACAGTACGTAAAATTTACGGTTAGAAGTTAAACGTAATATCATGATGGGCCCAGAAACTGCTTCTTTTAAGAGTAAACAAAGCTTATTTCACATCATAGCGCATCTTTCGCTATCTTGTAAAGTAATCTTTGCAAGATTGTAACTTTCGACGTTTACGCAGAATTTTGTACATCAAAGTTCGACCACTTGCGCGGTCTAAAGGAATAGTTGTAAAGTCAAAAGTTACATTAGTGACGGTATCTCCTCCAACTCGATGTATGCGGTTCATAAATTTATGTCCGGACGATATGTGTCACTATAAAATATTTTAAAGGTTCAGATATTAAAATAATCACGATTCTTTTACACATGATCTCTACTTGATTTTACAAACTCTTTTCATAAAGCCACGGTTCAGAGCTGCACACGTGTCGAGCTGGAGGAGTGACGTCACTCATCAGTAGTGTTGTACCGACCGCGTTCATGATCGAGGGTATTACACACTCGTCGACTCCAATATGGCGGTATCCCATTACAATAAAAATCAATTCAATCACTTTTAAACGTCACTTGCAAACGTCCCAACAACTAATTTCCAGAATATATTGAAAACCTTACGTATTTTAATCAAAACTATCGATTAACGAAGACAGTTGATTTACAACATTTCGTATATCAAAACAAATCACATTTAGGTGAATTTAAGAGGATTGGTTTATAATTTAAAATTTGGCGACGTCGTTATGAGGTTTCTTAACTTTAATCTACATTATTTGATGCCGGTGACAAAAGATCGGCGTTCGAGAGTGTCGAACGCCGATTTTTCATCTTCTTTCGTTTCATCTCGATTCGAGACTTACAAAGGCACATCTATGAAGCCGCAACTCGGTCGAACCCTTCCACTCGAGCATACCGTCGACAGTCGGGACAGCACTAGCGATTAAGCCGAGGTTGAGCAAAGCGGCACCGTTATATTGTCGCCGGTATAACCTAAGACGATTATCACACTGCACCGCGCTCCGCCGCGGTCCGCGTGGCTACATACAAAGAATCCCGCGCGCAGACGCGTTGTCAGTGTGTTGTGCCGCGCGTTTTCTATACAAACTGAGGTACTTGCATACAATGATTAAATCAGACTTCACGCGTACCGCGGCGGAGCGCGGTGCAGTGTGATAATCGCTTAAAAGACAACTTGTATCGTTCGCTTGTTTCTGTATAATCTCACTCGATGATTAGACGAAAAACTGTATATTTTATTAACATGTCTTATAAACTAGTGCTTAAATCTGTTTTTTTGGATTGTAGCAAGTTAAATACTTAAACCAATAGGACGGTGCCGCTGCTCGATGGGCCTTTATTATCGACATACCCTACAGCTTGATGTAGTCCGGCGTGCCGACGTTGGCGATCGTCTTCTTGATGCGCAGCGCCGTCAGCCGCGCCGCCGGGTTCTGGTACCAGCACTCCTTCATAACCTTCGAAATCGCCAGGAGGATCTGAAATGGTCGGCGAATGGTTTAATTCAAATTCAATTTTTTTATTGCATACTAGCTGACCCGGCGAACTCTGTTCCGCCTTAAAGGCAATAAATAAACAAATCTTTCCTTATTTGGTCACCGTTTAGACCTACCCTGGACTACTACAAACATTTTAACACCAAAATCAGCTCAATCGGTACAGCCGTTCTCGAGTTTTAATCAGACTAACGAACATCAATTCATATTTATTTATATAGATTAACCCCCTTACTAATAAAACTTACACACTAGTTGAACTGTGTTTTAAAGTGACGTTTAGTATGGAAATGTAATTTTATAACAGTGTTCAACAACTGTGTAACTTTTTATTAGTAAGGGGGTAAGTGTTTACATTTGGGTCTTAATCTAAACAATGAGCTTATAACTTAATGACCGTTAATGGGTATTGCAATATTAGTGGTGAGAGAGGACTAGTTTAAACTTAGGTCTAGCAACTTACATTATGAGATACTTATCTTAAAAGTGTTTGTTTACTATTAAAGAATTCATATAATGTATAAAAGCAGTTGGTAATTAAATATTTTTTAGCCATTTAACTTGGAATTCTAGTGTATTCAAACATAATCTAGTAGACATTATTTGATACGGTTGTTAATAGGAGAGACTTCTTCAAACATAAGAACAAGTCGTGTGGTTCCCGTAAAGTGTACAGGATCATTCCCACTCTCCCCGTGGATGTCGGTAGGCTAAATCCTGTATTTGCCTCTAGTCAATTCGATATCGAATCGGTGTCGAAAAAGACTGTTAAATACCTACATAACATTAATCAAAAATAACTTGGTTAAGCGATCTATCTATCGATCCACAAAAGAACGAACGTTATGTGAGAGAACCTTCAAATTGTGTCGGAGAGCGCGCACAATTGTCCCGCCAGATGTCGCAAGACTCCGTAACAGAACTTATTGTTTGTTCCCGAAATACTCTATTTCGGGAACAAACAATAAGCAAAGCTATTAGTTAAGCGACAGCAGTTTCTATAACTTTGCTGACCATTCTTGGCTTTCGATAGTACTTTGTCCATATAGCCCGAAAAAAAAACATGAAAGTTAAAAACAATGCAAAGTTGTGTATTAACTAGTAGTTGTTAAAAATTACATTTGAGACGATGATAAATTCCAAAATGAAACCTGCATATTAGAAGAAAACATGCAAACCAATACATTTAATGTAAAAATCCCATCATGAATATTGTACGATTCTCATCCCAACTAATCCCAACTAATTTATAAATGCGAAAGTAACTCTGTCTGTCTGTCTGTCTGTCTGTTACGCTTTCCCGCTTAAACCTCGCAACCGATTATGATGAAATTTGGCATAGAGATAGTTTGAGTCCCGGGAAAGAACATAGGATAGTTTTTATCCCGGGTTTTGAAACAGGGACGCGCGCGATAAAGTTTTTCTGTGACAGACAAAATTCCACGCGGGCGAAGCCGCGGGCGGAAAGCTAGTCCGATATATCGCGAAGTGATGTTTTCACAAGTTCTAGGCTAGCCTACTTGGATATTATTGTTTACCGTAAATGATATATCTGTTTATTATGAGAGTACAAAGTTGTTTTTCTCATCAGCGCGATTATGTTCATTTGATTGAATAGGCTTGAATCAACCTGATCGTCCCAAAAAATAATAAGATCCTTCCGCGTCCAAACTCAGAAGGTACTTAATGGTTTGGCAATAATAATACAGCGAGCGGCACTGCATAGTAACGTGCTGCGGTATGTCGCTCATTTACACCCCAACTTTAAGGCTAACCAGGGTTGTGACCTTAAACTAGAACAAGAATCCAAGCAGGATTATTTCACTGTTTTGTACAATAAATCAATCACTGAACCAGTCAGTCGCCACGTTTCTAAAGCACTATTTCTCGTAAACATCCACGATTTCATTAACTTAAAATCTTAAGAGCTCAATTTTTTAGCGTGCCAATAAGTGCTATCATTATCATCATTTCAGCCACAGGATGCCACTTCTGAACATAGGCCCAATGACTTCCACATCGCACGGAAATGAGGAGATCCGTTCGTTCGTTTCAGCCAAAAGACGTCCACTGCTGGACAAAGGCCTGCCCCAAGGATTTCCACAAAGACCGGTCCTCCCGCGACCTTCACCAGATCGTCGGTCGACCTAGTGGGAGGCCTGCCTACGCTACGTCTTCCGGTTCGTGGTCGCCACTAGGTATGAAAACTTTATGGTTAGCACTTACCGGATCCGAGTGCCAGCGGTTGGGCACGACGGGCCGGCGCTGCTCGGTGCACACGACGCGCCGCATGTCGTCCAGCGACGGGTCGGGCGGCACGCAGTCGTAGTACGGCGGCTGGTACTCGTCGGGCAGCCCGCCGCAGCGGCGCGCCATCTCCCACAGCACCAGCCCGAACGAGTACACGTCCGACCGCTTGTACGGGTCGAACTGCCGCGTGTCCATCGACTCGTCCAGCACCTGGGACCAGTCACGTCATCATCAGAACAAGGATAACAATGGGGCTATGTCCGACCGCTTGTACGGGTCGAACTGCCGCGTGTCCATCGACTCGTCCAGCACCTGGGACCAGTCACGTCATCAGCAGAACAAGGATAACAATGGGGCTATGTCCGACCGCTTGTACGGGTCGAACTGCCGCGTGTCCATCGACTCGTCCAGCACCTGGGACCAGCCACGTCAACATCAGAACAAGGAAAACAATGGGGCAACTTGAGCAGTTGTTGAACGGGTACACGTCCGACCGCTTGTACGGGTCGAACTGCCGCGTGTCCATCGACTCGTCCAGCACCTGAGGCCAGTCACGTCATCATCAGAACAAGGATAACAATGGGGCTACTTGAGCAGTTGTTGAACGAGTACACGTCCGACCGCTTGTACGGGTCGAACTGCCGCGTGTCCATCGACTCGTCCAGCACCTGAGGCCAGTCACGGCAACATCAGAACAAGGATAACAATGGGGCAACTTGAGCAGTTGCTGAACGAGTACACGTCCGACCGCTTGTACGGGTCGAACTGCCGCGTGTCCATCGACTCGTCCAACACCTGGGACCAGTCACGTCATCATCAGAACAAGGATAACAATGGGGCAACTTGAGCAGTTGCTCAACGAGTACACGTCCGACCGCTTGTACGGGTCGAACTGCCGCGTGTCTAATTCCGAACTAAAGAAACTTAATTTCAAATCTAAACCTGCATTCAATTGATGTCACAGATTGTTATGGTTTTAAAATGAATGGGCGAATCAAGTTTTGACTGCTCATGAAAATACCTCAATTGGTGTTGTTCACTACCCAATAAAATTGTACTATACAAGCACTTTCCGATTGACACATCCTGTATAATGCCCAAAATTGCGGCATACAAAAATCACTGTGCGAACTATTTGTGATACAATCACAGACGTATAAGATCCGGGTTCGTTTCCGGGAACAGTCCCGACCCGGGAAACGTTCAAGAGTACGGAACGAACGATCGGATCCTTTATGGTTTTGTTTGTTTTTTCCACGAAGTCACTTGAGCTAATGAAAAGTGTAAACGAACGTAAAATTGGACCTCACAGCTCACTGCACCTCTTTCCGTTCCTAATATTCTTTCATTTCGCGTGTGTGTACAAACATTCTACAAGGGAGCGTGTCAGTGTCCTATACTTCTATATAGATATTTTATCGAGCACGAATACGAGAGACATACCAGAACGCTTTTATAACAGAGAAAAGCTTGTGATTTCTTTGATTTAAATATTTAAATTTGCCTAACGATTAGCTTTTACCCCCTAGTTTTCCGTTCCAGAACAAAAAGCTACGAAAATATTTATGCGAATAGAAACACCTTGGAAACGGAATACATATTGACAGCGAGGCCGGGCGCCATCTGAAATTCAAAGGCTCATTACAATAACAAATAGCTAGTTCCGCGCTCTTGACACTAGAGTCGCTAGACGAGTCTAGACTCCGAGGGACACGGCATCGGAGCCCAGATACATGATTGAATAAGTCCCCCAGGCAGGATTCGAAAGGAAAATTATCAATGACAATTATCACGATAATTATCTTGATAATAACAGATGGATAATTATCTGTTGATAATAACAAAAAATGCGCTCGTAAAAGTGAACTGTATTCGAAGTTTTCAAACTCGTGTGACTGTGGTGGACGTTATTTAACATAGATAGTTATAAAAGCGTTTGAAAACTTCGAATACAGTTCACTTTTGCGAGCGCATTTTTTTATTGTTATCAAGTGATAATTATCCATCTGTTATTATCAAGATAATTATCACGAAGCGTAATTATCTTGATAATTTCGAACCCAGCCCCCAGTTAAGGGGGCCCTTACAACCTACCTAAGTGGGACAGGTGACATTAAATTGTCTAGAGACGCTCTCGTGTAGGCCGTTACAAGTAAGCAAAATAAAAGTGTACTTTCTGCATGTAGGCGTTTATAATAAAGCTATTCATAAATAACTTAGTCATGTTTTCCAATTAGGTGAGCCAATGCCGAGAATAGAAAACTGCCTCTGCGCCTTCATATTACATTATAATTTAATCAAAATTCAATATAGATCGTTTCATCCACGAAAACGCGCCCCACCAATTTTTGGTCAAGGGAAGCGCGGGGTGCGGAGAGTTTGATCCGAGCAATCCGAGCGTCATTATTGTAAAGTGCGTGTGCACTCATGGATGATTTAGCGTGTACCGATAACACTCAAACATGAGCGGAAGAATGGTGGGGCGCGTCTTCGTCGATGAAACGATCTATACAAGAGCTCCCTAAATAAATAATCTCTATATTCCGAGATAAATAGGTACTTTTATTACGTAAGTAGTAGGCAAGATAAGTTAAGACTTAGGCCCGGTTTAGGCAAGATAAGTTAAAAGACAGGCCCGGCTTCCACCAAGGCGGAGTGCGAAGCGGAGGAGTGATAGTTGATTAACCAATCAGATTCCATTATTTGCACATCTCCACTCCGCCCCGCTTCCACTTTATTTTCTACTAGCTTTCCGCCCGCGGCTTCGCCCGCGTGGAATTTTGCCTGTCACAGAAAAACTTTATCGCGCGCGTCCCTGTTTCAAAAACCGGGATAAAAACTATCCTATGTTCTTTCCCGGGACTCAAACTATCTCTATGCCAAATTTCATCAATATCGGTTGCGTGCGAGGTTTAAGCGGGAAAGCGTAACAGACAGACAGACAGACAGACAGACAGACAGAGTTACTTTCGCATTTATAATATTAGTTGGGATAGAATTTGACAGCGGCGCGGCGCAGTGCTGTGCGGAGAAGAGCGGAGATGTGCGGAACGGTGCGGTGTTTCATAGATAGCAATAGGGTTCTCAGTGAGAGCTACGCACCGTCCGTTCTTCTCCGTACCGCTTTGGTGGAAATAGCCAAATAAATAATAATAAATAGTGTTTGTTCAAATAAATAAATAAAATACATATTAGTCGCACCGCTTCGACTTGGTGGGAACCGGGCTTTAGTCTTGGGCTAGAGTATTTAGGGCAGATAGCCTACAATCTAAATTAGGGGTCGCCGTAAGACATCTATTGTGAGAATATCCTCATCACAATCTGCTCGATTGGTTCACCCAGCCCAGATTTCCGTTCCGTTGTTCTAATATTAGAAAGAGCTTGCAAGAAAAGCCTCATGGATACAAACAGAATTTTCTAATGGTATTTTACCGATACGGTTTATCGGAATTCATGAAAAAGCAATATAACTTTAGAGTTTTCCATAATACCTACATCCCTCGATATGGCAGAAATAAACATCGTTAAGAGATTTGGTTGCCATTTGAAAAACCGGTCAAGTGCGAGTCGGATTCACGCGATGAGGGTTCTTTACGTCAGTCATTTTCTTAAATATTTGTACTACCACTCTTCTTTACCATCATTGCTTAGATATAGTGCCTTATTTCTGAGTACAAGAGATTTTACATCAATAAACTATTTTCGGAACGTTTAGTCAACAGCAAATGCCCCATAGGCCCTTGTGAGTGTTGACAGAGAACGAAACGATCCTATAATATTGTTATAAAGGTTCAATTTCTCCATTAGAGGTGCGGAATTCTAATAACGTCTTATCTAACGTAGCGCGGAGTCCTGCTGACAGAAATTGAGCAACATTTTATCGGAGATATTTTATTTACAAGCTTCGCTCCTCCGCTGTGAGGAAAACTATCCGTTGGAAAATATAAATAACGGGTAGTAACTAAAACTAGTAAGCCGATTAGGGAAATTTCCTCTCAAATATAATGCCTCCTGTCACTTGGCAGCGGGGTCGTTACCAGGATAATGCCCTACATTCGTCCCGGCCCTCCCGGCAGCAAGCCAGTTGCCAAGCGATACCCGATATCCTTTCTCTATAGCAGTGTTTTTCAACCTGTGGGTCGCGACCCCCTTTGTGACCCGCAAAGCCTCTACAGGGGGGTCGCATAAAGTTATAAAGATAGATTTATCCGTAATCTAATTATGCAAATGCATAAAATATGTTGTATGGATATGGATTGAAGTATTCTGTCCCTACAACATCCTTGTAACATTTTAATGCTTGAAAAAAAAAAGCGAACGGTCGGGGATCGCCAAATATTTTTTCATACTAGGGGGGTCATGTCATGAAAAAGGTTGAAAAACACTGCTCTATAAGAAGCAAACCCACACGAGCGCATCGCAGACAATGGCTAAACCTTTGATAAATATTGTAGAGACGAAAATGTATTCAGTGAGAAAAAATTGATTATTTCTGATTCCAAGCACAACTTGTACTGATATTCAGAAACATGGGAATCATCTCAAGAATATTCCGCCGTCTCGTAACTTCAGAGACTGGAAACGTATTCAATCTATTGTTAATTTATGTAACAAGGTGACCCCCAGGTATTTGTTTTAGAAATCCTTCAAGTCCACCAACTTCGGTATTGTTTGGGAAGGACAAAAGAAGCAATATTAATTCGGGAGGCTCGCAGGCATATAATATTCAGAGAGGTTATACCGAACATGGTTTGCCAATGTCAAGCTTGAATAATGAGTGGGTTTATTACGGTCTAAACTTCTAAAGTGCTTCGTGGCTGTGAAAACATTACGAAATAGAAAATGTTAAAGCACTGGATATCAAACATGTCCCTTAAATTACCAGAACCGCGATAAAAGCGTTTGCACTTCGCTGAAAAGTTTACTCTTTTTGCGTTCATTCAATGTTTGGTCGAAAATGGCATTGGGTAGCCGTCGCTTTGAGTGCCAATGCTCTAATACGTCATCCCTGCACTCTTACGGTCGGAGGGCGTGATGACCCCATCGGGCCATCACCAGGTTTATATCCAGTAGCCTATTCACGTAACAAAACTTCAATGACAACAAATCGCTGAGTTGCGATCCTATCGAGTAATCGTTATATCGAAATGACCCATGTGAATACGGGTTTAGAACTGTTTTTCAATGGGACGACTTCTAAACGTCAGCGAGATCTTGACTGTCAAAATACGTGAATTAGGCTAAAGCCTGGTCCGTGAGCCTGAGCACGTATAATTACGCGCGAGCGATAAGGATGGGTAGCTTGGGGTCATTGGACAAAATTCTACGTGCTCACGGACCAGGCTTTACAGGGCGCGGGACTCACCTCGGGGGCCATGTACCGCTTGGTGCCCACGCGGTTGGTGGAGGGCACGTCCACCGAGTCGCTGGCCACGTGGTGGCGGACGGCCAGCCCCAGGTCCCCGATCACGCAGGTCAGGTTGCTCTTCACCAGGATGTTCTTGGACTTCAGGTCGCGGTGCGCGATGGCCGGCTTACCTGCAGGACGGTGGAGGTTCAGAGAGAACAAGATTCATTTGGTTCAATTTACACATCGCACATTGATAAGACCGTCATTATACGAAATTATGCATTTATGGTTAGGTTAGGCCACAGATCACAGAAACTAAAGGGAGATGTGACAAAGGGGCGGGGCCGGTGTCACAACAATATGCCCAAAAACAGAACACATTGCTCGTGACAGCAATGATGACAGCAGCGACGTCATAATGTAAACAGTTTACATTGCTTGTGTAGTACTAAAAATTATTCGAACGTTGAGTACTGATACCGCAGTGGATAATGAGCACATATTTTGATTACTTTGTGTGTGTGAATTCCTAATGCGACACTGAGTTTCGAACTCAGCGCCATTTTAAAGCGTGCGCGGAGAATTAAACTTAAAACGCTCTTTAAAAGTACAACTTTGTTTAGTCTTATCAATATGCGATTGTATTCAGGCGACAAGCAAACAACTTTGAAAGTTTTAAAGGCATTTGGAAGCGTTGCCGCATACTATATAGAAAACTATTTTCTCTATTACATAAAGCGTGCCTGAACTAATCTAGGAACTACTTTGGTGTAATATCTAAAATACGAGCCGAGCTCGCCTTCATTAGAAGAAGCTCATTGTTTCAGCGAGTTACTAGAGAACCCCTTAAAGGGCTACCTTTCTTTTTATTATTTTTGACGTTCATAAGTCCAAAATTCTGGTTAAATAAAACTGAATAAAATATTTTTGATTTTATAGATTGACTAGTGACATCGTGGCCTATATTTTTTAACTGGTGACTGAGTTTGTTGCGGCGCTTCTTCTCAGCACTTGCCAAATGTTTGTCTCGAAGCGCCGGTAGGGCAAAAAAAAATGAGACATGTATGTATAGGCTCCTTAAGATCATTTGACGATTTGTAAGTGCTAATTTAATTAGTCTACACAAATAAATATAATTTTGAATTTGATTTTGAGTGTGCGGCAACTTTATATTTAGTCAAGCTCTGTGCACTTGTATCGCTTGCGAAGGCAAACGATCATTAATGGGCCCTGGTGGTGATTTGACACATGTGAATTGTGGAAACCAGGGTGGTTTTCTTGATCTAAACTTCGAATAACGTATCATATTGTTGGACGTAGATAAAATTATGAATTAACCAAATTTTTAATTGACACACAGGAGTGACACATTGCAAGGTAGATACTGGCAGAATACTAAGTTGTTATTTTGAAAAATATGGGTTAGTAAAAACTCGCAAAGCAAAAACTAAATACTAATAAGTATGTAATAGTAATTAATACCTACCCTACCAATTTTTACGGTTCTGTACGTTTAATAGCGTGATTAACGGACAAAGAAAGTTAAAAGGCCAAAAGTCTGTGTCACGCGCTGTCACTGCTTGGTCACGGCTCATGCTGGGCGGAACGTGGGTGGAGGTCAAAGTTAGCCGTCTTATTGATTTGTTGACTACACATCATTAGCCGAAGTTCGGTTCGATCTCACATAAACTAATGAACCTAAAAAGAGCCAGTATTAGGATACCGTGCCCAACACTGAACATCGGACCTGAAGTTCAAAACTTGATTTCACTCAATACTCTAATCGAACTGAGATCAGTCAACAAAATTTGATTTTTCAATTAATTTCTTCCACTTGAGATTGAAGTTCAAACCTCTATGTTTTGGTTACCAAAATATTAGTACCAGGACAAATCTTAGGCTAAGAACTCACGGCGCGATTTTCACCCGCGCCCGCGGCGGTTGTGGAATTGCGGTTTTATTTCAAAACTCACGGGAGCGGTTATTTGCGCGGTTAGAACTCACGCGCGCATGCTAAGTCACTGGTACAAAATGGTCGCCCGCCGATCGGACGGTTTTCGCGCGGGCGAAAGCCGCGTCGTGAGTTGTGCATTAGTTTTTACATAAGTATTTCCATTCTACAGAAGCTGCGGGCCCGCAACCGCCGCGGGCGCAAGTGAAAATCGCGCCATGAGTTCTTAGCCTTACACGCCCCGCATTGACCTCCGCATAAAGCCCCGCAGTACGCTAACGAATACCACTTGCTCAGTCGACATCACGTCTAACGTATTTGTAAACAGTACTTATTACGACTACATATTTCATTGAGATGCCTTAGTTTATACCTTACTAGCGACCCGCCCGGCTTTGCACGGGTGCAATGGACTTTTTTCGGCTTTTCTCTTCTATAATATGCATGTAACCTTCCTTATGAATCCGCATCAAAAACCGTTGCGTAATTTTGAAGATTTATGCATACATACATACAGACAGACAAGAAAGCGACTATGTTTTATAATATGTAATGAGTGAAACTTCGCGCGTCTATCCATAAACACCTTTCCCACACCCCGGCATTAAACTCTTCGCCGAATTATGCACACCTTGCAGCGGATGACGTGTCAAATGTGTGCCAAGGCTGGCGAGATCACTGCACCGCCACTTAATGCGAGTGAATCTTTGACGGCGAGAAAATGAGAGAATATAAGATAGAATGCAAGCCTACACTGGCGGACAAGAAAATCGAACCGGACAATATTGAATCGAATATCAAATAGGTTTAGTGTCGTCTTCAAGGTTGGTTAAAAAACATCAATTCTGGTTTACTGCACATATTTAACAAATACACTAAAATTTTCTGGAAAATAATGGATTAAAATCTATTGGTGAATTTTATTGGTGCGTTGCCTTTATGAGCTCAGTTTATTGCTAAAACAACTCTCTATCTAGCAATAGATTATTATAGCATACGAACGTAAAACCTTAAAGTGTATAAATTGTTTATGGCCGAGACGCGACGATCGACAGATTTGTTACAAGAAATGGAGAGTATTTAAAAATGAATTAAATCGGCGGGTCGATCACTTTGACCGCCAGTGTATCGAGCAGTCATGTGAATTGATTGGCATTCAATTATTCAGCATGGTCGCTGAAGGGCTAATGACACGGACCGACTGACATACTATTTATGAAAACGCTTTTCTCCGTCGATTCTCATAAATATCAAGTTGTGGCGTCATCTCGGGTGCTCGTTACCATAGCAACCGACGGCAGAGTAGGGTTGCGAATATTAAAGACGAATAATTGTTGTAATTTGCTTAAATAAATATTTAATGAATACTTTTCGCGCACGAATATCTCTTTAGTATTGTCCCAAACAACAAGAGCACGTCCATTCCCGAAGTTGTCGAGTTCGAGCGGTCGCGGGCTGGAAATACTTCATCCTTCGACGCAACCTGTTGCCGCGTCTCGGCGCTCTTGAAATAAACATTCCCAAATCACATTACCCCACAACAAAAATAAAAACTCAAAGCATTGTTTCTTTTTCTTTCTAATCTTGTTATTTTGTTGAAAGTAAATAACCAGACTGATCGGCTTAGGGGATTAATTCTAAATAAGATATTTGGTTGTTACTTAACGACTTTTATTCGAAGCCTGGATGCTAAATTCTAAGTTTTTTGCTAAATTTTAAGCTTTATCTAATGAAGCGAAGATGTTTGTACTGCAGCTCGGTAAATAAGTGATTTTCTTTCGATGGAGGCGGATTAGCTCAGCCTGATGACACATGGAAGCGGCCAAGCGCGAAGGGGTCCGTGTCGCTCGTGCCAATTAAAAACCCATCAATTCTGTATTAGTTTAGCGCCGGGTGGGCTCCGCGCCGCCCTCGGCAATCGCTCGCAAATTCGCAATCTATTTACCCGCGACTGATACGTGGCGTGCGCGGGTGTCATCCCGTATCCCGCGATCGATGAGCAAGTCTTGTGCAACGCTCGGGGCGTCCTTCCGCCACTGGCTTCGACACTTTGAAATGTCATCAGGGCCAGGGATGTTTAATTTCCGGGGCAGAAATGTTTCTGTCGTGCCGTTTGAAAACTCTGTCTTTAGTTTACCTGTGTTAATAAGTTGTGCTACTCTAAATATATTTTCTCCTTTTAGTATCATGCAAGATTCAACCTCAGATAATGGTGATTTTCGTGTCTAAATTACGAGGTATAACATTATGGTGCATTCACACATGCCGAGCGGCACGGCAGGCGGCCAACCCGGCGGTCGTGCATCTTTAACTGGCAAGGCAGACTGAAAGCCGGCGGCATGTGTGGATGCGCTATTAGAAGAAGAAGTGTATAACGAATAAATCTTAAAAGTAAAAGCCCCAAAACATGCGAAGCAAAATAGATACACCAAAATACAGATACACATATAGATATACCATCACCGTACCATCTCCCGGGCGTATAAAGATATTAATGTTTGATACCGTAGGAGTAGTGGTGAACACCTTTAGTGCCGACGATGTCCATGTGCAGGTGGGCCAGGCCGGTGGCCACGGACAGCGCCATCTTGACGAGCGTGGCCGAGTCGATTGTGCGCGCAGTCAGGAAGTCAAACAGCGAGCCATTCTCGTGGTAGTCCGTGATGAGCCACAGCTGCGTCCACGTGCCGTTGTCTGCGCAAACCGTCAGGGTCAGCCAGGGGCATTTACACATTCAACTCTAACTTACAGTCGAATTTTTTAGAATTCAGCAGAAACTTAAACAAATATGGCTAACTGACAAAAAATATTGTTCATCTGTGCCCTAGTGTGGCGACACAACCTCTCGTTAATCGCGAATTGAAATTATTGTAGTACTTACATATCTATAGAAAGAATCTATAATGCTTTAAAAAGCAGTGCATTAAGTAATTAGTAGTACATTCAATGAAGAAAAAATCTTTTTAAATCTATTTAAATGCAATCAGGAATAGAAATGATTGAATAATTGAAATAAAATCGATTAAATTTACCGATTATTGTCTATGACATACAGGTTACAACACTGATGTGTCAGAGACAACATGGAGATAACACATAATTTTAAACGTCAAGTCAATTTGACAAGTCTCACAAAGGACAATGACCAGAAATGTATGGAGTGTGGTCCAAATGTCCACCACTAACGAGACCTATGCAGTAAAATAGTCTACTAAATACTGATTCATTATAACAAAACCGCAATCAAAAATATGTTGTCAGTAAAAAGTTATGACTGAATGAAAAGTCTGTTTTTTGCCTTTTCATCCGAAAAATGTTCTTCATCATTCTATCCAATGCACATTTTGGACTAATCTACGCATGTACTGTTATGTCGCATGTGGCGTGGGGTTATACATAGATGAATTTTATTAAATATACATATTATACTAGCTGTGCCTACAACTTTGTACGCGTGAAAATAGTTTGAATAATATTTCCCATTTTTACAACATTTGTCTTTACTGCTCCGCCCCTATTTATTGTAGGGTGATGTTATTTATCCTAAAACCATCCTTGATAAACGGGCTATCCATAACAAAAAGATTTTTTCAAATCGGACCAGTAGTTCCTGAGATTAGCGCGTAAACTACTACAATTTTTCAAACAGTCATAACTTTTTACTGACAGCTTATTTTTTTTTCGTCCCATACTGAAAGTTGATCACTATTTAATGGACTATAAGCCAATATAGGTCTCATTAGTGGTGGACATTTGGACCACTTTTGGTCATTGTCCTTTACATCGTCCACGTATTTTGCTAAAATAATTTGTTTCAAAGATTAATTTCAAACTTGTATAATCGTGAGAATAAAGTTGGTTTAATGGGCTTGTGTAATAATGTGTATGATATTATGAACACGTAAGTGATTATGGTGTAATTGTGTATGAAAGTGTTTGTTTACATCTCTGCTGGATTCTAAAAAAGCAAGGTATAAAAAAATTATGCCCTACGCTCCTGTCACTCGTTCGTTCCAGCCAAATAACGTCAGCTGCTGCCCCAAGAATTTCCACAACAAGCGGTCCTGCGCTGCCCGCATCCAGCCTACCGGCAAATCCAGCATTGGTCACCTCTGGGAGATTATCATGCCCAGCTCAAATACTACGATGCGTCATGATTGTCTTCCGAAGTGCAATATTATTCAAGTTGATTCGGGAATACTCCCTTTAGGCTCTAGGAAACTAAAACCAATTTCAAGTAAAGAATATTTGTTCTCTCTTTGACCTAGTACGCGAACGTAATTAGGTGAAGGGTAAATAATAACTTCACACTAGAGCCTCAAATTTAACCTCGTGAACGAAGGTACACGTCTACTACGCAATTCACGAATTCTAAGAGAGTAAGCAGGCATGAGTGACATAAAGCGAAATGCTGTGAACATTCGTGTTCACGCTCTACTACGCACAATCGAGGTGCTATTAATATGTTTTACTATTCCTTTTACTACGATACACATTAAATTTAATAATGATAATAAGTATTTCGTTAAGCCTATCGAGACCTGTCTCGTTTTATGATGTAGGTGTCGAAAGCCTTTAATAGGCCCATCAACCCTCGATGATACCTTTATCGGTATTTACGCCCAGTTGATTACTGGTACTCTTTTCTCGAGCAGTTTATTCACAGCTTCAAACATTGTTAGATCCTGGCAAGTTCTAAGCCCGCTTCGATTGTGCGACTTTTAGGTAAATAAAACCAAATTAACAGTAATCAGTCCTCGTGGAAAAAATATGTTTATTTAGTATTCATATGATGTGCTTGTACTGTCGATCTATTACTGTGAGGATAAACAAGCCTAAATACACATTAGACATCCGTGACTCGGGAGTTTTCGCGCTTATGACAAAGCTTTGCCTCTAATAGGAGTTCCTAGACTTTCAATTTCAGCTACGGATATTACCAGACCAATGATGAATTCAATTCAGCTAAAAGATGTCCAATAAATGGAAAAGTGTGGTATAAAAGACAATGCCGGAAATTGGCGTCTTTTTTTTTTCGCGCGGCCATCGACCAAACTTTGTTTTTTGATAACAAAATAGTGTAATAAACCAAACTTACTATGACATGTATACCTCTAAACTCAGTCTGAACTGAGTTACGAGCATTAGAAGTTTGATGATTTTCATACTAGATTTGCTTTTTGCGCGCAAAGTTTTGTAAGAAATTGCAACAAAATAGTGAGATTATATGTGTAAACAAACAATATCATCCATTAGAGGCTCCAGACATCAGTATGGAGCAGAATCAGCGCAATAAAAAAATAGCGCAATATTTTGTTGCAATTTCTTACAAAACTTTGCGCGCAAAAAGCAAATCTAGTATGAAAATCATCAAACTTCTAATGCTTAATTTAGAATGACGTAATATATGGACGGCCCCCTAAAGTTGCTGATACAAACAAAAAAACAGAAGTATTTGAAAAATTGTAGTCGTGGTAATGTAAAACATCATAAGGGGTGTCAATTTTCGACGAACTTCATAATTTATTGTGTAACTTAAAAAATAATTGAGATAGATTTTTTTTCTTATTTTTCCCAAAGTAGTCATGACTATGTTCATTCTGCGGCGCCGGCTTATCCTTGAATTTTGGGACACGTTGTATACTGTACTTATATTCTGTTCTGTGATGAATTATCCAAGTCAGGAGGTCAAATTACTAAGCCACAGAGGCATTTGTTGTCACTAATAAGCCAACGCATCGATACAGTAACTCGATACAGCTACCATCTCGCAAGCCAATTATTAGTGAGTGACCGTAACCACATGACAGCTTGCGTAGTAAACGGTTTAAACCACATACGTCGCACCGCAGCCTACTTCCATCATCATTTAACATCATCATCATCATCAAGTCATATAATCTCCACTGAAGGTGCACTACCTTCTCTAATTTGATGGCTGCTGGGGCTGAATGGCGACCACGGGCCAGAAGACGTAGTGTGGGCACTTGGGTAGACCCCCCACTAGGTGGACCGACCTGGTGAAGGGTGCGGGAGGTGCCTGGGTGAGGGCGGCCGCAGGACCGGTCGTTTTGGAAATCCTTGGGGGGGGGGGGGNGGTATACATGACATAGTAAGTTTGGTTTATTACACTATTTTGTAATCAAAAAACAAAGTTTAGTCGATGGCCGCGCGAAAAAAAAAAGACGCCACTTTCCATACAAAATCTGGCATTGCCATTTAACTGCATTTATTTGCAATCCCGATGCGGTTACAGCTCTTCGGAACAAACGACAGATTTAATTAAAGCGATCATGGACAATCGACGACCGCGCGGGGCTTTCAGCTACAACTGGCCTATTTAAATATTTAAGTGACACCTGTTCTGTGGTAAATCTAATGCACTCTACAATAGCTAATATAAGCTGGACTAGAGATAAAATAGTGCAACAAAACTTAGGAGAATAAAGTGTTTCTAACACACTTCATTAGTCTGACTTTCGGGACATGATTCCAACAACGTGTCATTGATACTAAACTCCACTCTTGACTTTGTAGACTGGTTTATCTACAGCACTTGCTTGTAGGACGCCATATTGCTGAAGACTTTAAGCAATTGGTTTAAGTACATAATTAATTGAGCACCTTTGAAGACCCCATGGGCATATAGTACGCAGAACTGACGGCCGATGGGGCAGCAAAGTTCTGGAGTGGATGCCATGTACCGGAAAGCGCAGCGTATGATATCCACCCGAAATGTGGACCGACGACCTCATAAAGGTAGCGGGAAGGCGCTGGATGCAGGCCGCCACCAACCGGCCATTGTGGAAATCATTGGGGGAGGCCTATGTTCAGCAGTAAACGTCCTGTGGCTGAAAAGATGATGATGAAGACCCCATACTGCGTTTCATCTATACAGGGTGGAAACGATAAGTGATCTCACTCGATTATTTCTAAACTATACAAGATATCCAAAAACTGCTTACTGATCCTAAAAGTACTTCATGAGCTCTATCCAACGGTACCAATAATAGGTTACATAATAAATTGGATCTATCTGAAAATTCAATGTTTCCAGCCTCCATACATTTAGTAAAACCTCATAATATTAAAAACTATACAAGATATCCAAAAACTGGTAACTGATCCTGAAAGTACTTCACGAGCTCTATCCAATGGTACCAATAAAAAGTTATAAAATAAACTGGATCTATTCGCAAATTCAATGTTTTCAGCTTCCATACATTTAATACTGCCACAATCATAGCACTCATGTCTTGATAATATTATAGCAAGTAAAGCCTAAAACCAATGTTTTCCGTGAATAATTTTAAATAAGAATGCTATTCACGAATTAATTTTAAGTGTTTATTATTTAAAATAAAAAAAATTAACACTTCTAATATTGATTGGCTGGCATAGTGGCATACATTTAGTATGGAGGCTGAAAACATTGAATTTTCGGATAGATCCAGTTAATTCTGTAACCTATTACTGATATCGTTTGAAAGATCTCGTAAAGCTCTTTCAGAATCAGTAATCAGTTTTTCGATATCTTGTATAGTTTCGAAATAATCGAGTGAGATCACTTAACGTTTCCACCCTGTAGATCGTTTCATCCACGAAGACGCGCCCCACCACTTCCCGATCGAGGGAATCGCGGGGTGCGGGGAGCCTGATCCGACTAATTCGAGAGTCATCATTGTAGTGTGCGTGCGCACGCAACTATCCAATTGCAACGCTGCCAATGCCAAGTTGCCAAAAATGTCGCTCGGATTGACCGGATCAAACTCCCCGCACCCCGCGCTACGACCAAAAAGTGGTGGTGCGCGTCCTCGTGGATGAAACTATCTATAACAGCAAGTCACCTTTGTTATCAGCAGCGATGAATCCCAATATATTCTCGTGTCGCAGCATCACCGTCTGGTAGATCTCCGCCTCGCGGAACCAGGAGCACTCCTCGCGCGAGGAGAAGATCTTGACGGCCACGTTCTCGCCGCGCCAGCGCCCGCGCCACACCTCGCCGAAGCGGCCCTTGCCGATGATGTCGGCAAGCTGGATCTGGCGGGCGATGGACCGCTGCACCAGGAGCGGGAGACCTGTGCGGCAAGGAGGGAAGCCTCGGAACTTGGGTCTGACTAGATTGGTTCTGATGCAGTCAGTACCAGCTCTCTGAACTAGCGAGAGTCAGACGAAAATCAAATGTTACTTCACCAGGATGTCCGATTCTTATTCTCAGAATATACGTCATACAGCAAATGGTCACTTGCCTAGCTTCAACATACATAACATTTCTATTGTAATATGGCTATTTAAGCTTTACCACTTGAGATGGATTCTCGTGATCCCAATCCATCAGTTTAGTTACACAGCTACAGTCAGAACAACAAGAGAGAAATAATAATATCTTAAGTTGTGTCTTTTGGAGATCGCATCTCGGTAATCCGTGCGGTTGGTTTACTTTAAGGTTATTCCAGGGAAGCCTATAATAGGGGTGTTTCCTGAGTAAAAAAGCAAGAGTTTTAATTAGTCCGTTAGATAGCTTATCAAAAAATACTCGACACCTATTTTTCACTTTTTAAAACTAATGAAAATGTAAAGAGATAAAGCGTGCCAAAGTTCTAAAGAAAAGGCCCGTGACGTCAGTGAGTGCGTAAAAGTGCTGCACTTTGTGACGTCGCGCGGAACTTCAACGCACTATAACTTTGTAATTATTTGTTTGATTGACAATTAACAATATTTTTTTTATATTAAAATGGACGGACTAAAATATTTTTTTTAGGAAACTAGCCTATTAGTCATACATACTGTTAAGTTACTTTAAGTTTTATTTAGTGTAACGCCGTTTGTTTGTTAATAAAACAATGACAAATATCAAACTTACCCGATCCCGAGCCCGAGGTGGTGAGCTCGATCATGTCGCGGATGGTGGCGGTGCCCATGAGCGGGTGGTGGCGCGTCTCGCACAGCGAGTCCTCGCCCTGGAACAGCGGCCTCGAGCCGCGCTTCATCACGTTGCGCGTGCGCTTGGCCCACCAGAAGCTGATGGCCGCGCATACGCCAAGCACCATCAGCCCCATCACCCACGGGATCACCTGCCACGCCGTGGCCGTCCCGGTCGGCTCTGCGTTGCCGAACAACACGTTATTGGGGCCACGAGAACCCGCCACGCCATCAGAACTCTCATCGTTTTGAAACGCCATTTGTTTGGATTGTGAGAATTCTGATGATGTGCCGGTACGACAACGGGCCTATTTACGGTGTTATACGATATAAAGCTGCAGAAAAATACCACAGAATTAATGACGAAAACATTCGCAGATAAGCACGTTGCGAGACAAAATAGTTAAATGTGATGCAAAATGTCAGCGGAACTTAAAAGATAATCTGCATATAATTTCCAATGAAGCTAATGATACTTTTGCTCATGTAACGTCGGGATTTGTAAACATTTATTAACAAGTGCCATTTGTTAAAATTTCATAAAAACTTACTTGGTTAAATCTATTGTTACAAGCTGCAAATATCTAATTAGATACATAACATAAAATAACAGTCATTGAGTTGTCTCTTAGGAAATTACTTATAACTAAACATTATTTCTACACCATGCTTACAAAAAATTTAAAAATAATTCCAATTTTTATGTCAGTCTAAGCTAAAACTCCAGCCCCAGACATTTTGACGTGTAAATTTTCATATTACGCGGATTACCACATGCCCATAGATAAAAAAAACCCTTCCACCTGTCAGTTAACGGCGTCAGCGCAAATAAAGCTCCTGAATAATAAAGCTCACTTTGGCGCAGTACTGTACATTCTATATTCAGTAGGTTCTCTCCTAACTGATTCACTTTTGTGAGATCGGACTGCGGGCAAAATTGATAATTTTTTCATGATTGAACCATGGTCAAAAAGAAGGTAGGTGCACGTCTTTTATTTGAACTGTAAGTGCAGTAGGCACTCGTAGTACTATTGTGATTTAAAGAGGCTCTTCAAAACATACCTATACCAATGTGCCACTGCACAAATGGGCTACATGGGCACAATTCATCACTACTGAGCTATATAAACGTCAATTATAGTTTGTGACTCAATGCGAAACCACTGACCACCATATACTGAAGCAAAAGAACTTGGCAATGTCAAGGGAAGTCCACGTTCGGGAACAAAGCGAGTGACCAAATTCGCGTTGCGTCATCGAGACCCCATCTCAAAGGACGAGGACCACAATACTGTTACGGTAATCTCCTTTGAATACGCAGATTGGTGATACACATTTTGGGGATAAGTGCCGCATCCTGTGGCCGTGACACAGTATTGATTAACTGTATTGTGTCATTGCACTTTTCATCTGGGTTATCATTCAAGGAAGACTTCTGTCGAGTCTAAATTCAAGCAGTAATGCGAGTTCTAATCTACTATTGATGTGTAGAAACTTCCAGTATACTTCAGATTTTACCACCGCGTTTAGTTCGTGAGATTTACTGTCTGTGACAAACGAATACCATTGAACGCCACAACGGGCAAAAGCCAGTGAAAATTTAAATATGCGCTAATAATACACCAATTTAAATCTCGAAAAAAAAAAAGCTGTCCAACAGTTACGAGGTGTCAGACAACGGATTTATGCAGGGGACGCCTCCCGGCATCCCAGACGAGCCCACCTAAAATGATGTTTCTATATTATGCGAAACAGAAACTTTAGGACTCAATAATACTTTCAAAGCGATTCACCTTTCCACGACGAAGTCAAATAATATTTCTTTTTCACATCTCATTAGTGAATGTAAAAAGATTACATTTGTCAGTCGTGTCGCAGCTCGCAGGGTAATGTAGGTGTGTTTGAACCCCAGAGCGCTCCTCGCGCATGAATTATTAAAGGCGCCCCTCTAATGTGGGGCTTCCAATAGTCGGGAATTCGGGATAGCAGCAAATTATGACACGGCCGAATGGGAAAGGCTTAATTCACTACAATTATAATTATCTTCTGCCACAAAATTAAATATAAATGTACTTTGATACTATCCAAAGTAAACAGACACAAAAAATAAAGTTACGAGGGGCAACATTATACAACTAGTGTTGTTAGCGACGTCAACCGGGAAAATACGCTAATTTATTAATTAGAATTGATTAGCAATGTTAACAGACAGAAAATGTTGTAAAATAATCAATTAGAGTCGATTAGAGATAAATAACATTCCATCTCTTTCTCACATTATCTGTCATCTCGCTTGCACATCAATTACTCTTCCACACACTTCTGGAATATTCGAGAGAAAAAGAAACGGGACGGCAACATCGGACCTCTCGCTTCGAACATTCCAGAACTATGGTCCAGAACATGAGAGACAGAGACAGGAATATCGGGAGAGAAAGGGATGGATATAGCCCGGGGCCCTATAAATACAGAGCGAGCCGCTCCGGGAGACAAGTTTAAGTTTATGTATTGTTTTGTTCAGTTCAGAGAACAAGTGCTCCAAGCAACAAGTGATCTGAAGAAGCAAGAACTGAGAAAAGGAAGCGAATAATAAACGCGAGAAGTCTCAGCAAGTGAAATAGTGGTTTTATTCCTGCAAGTAGCACCTACTACGCCTGACATAGTAAGGGCAAGCTCTCAACGGCAGTCATCATCGTCCGGTCAGCGCTCTCGAACACACACAAACGCATACAGTCCACTGCAGTCCACCACACTTTCCTGGTCCTTCGAGCCGGATCACCACATTTTCCTGGTCCTTCGAGTAGCCGGATTACGGGAATAGCGAAGATGCCTGTCACCAGGTCGGAGAAGCTACGAGGTGCCGCCGCCGCGGCTAGCGCCGCCGCCGCAGGGAGAATTACGTCGCCGCCGGTTCATGGAGGAAGTACTCCGACGGAAACCACGGATACTTCATCAACGCTGACCCCGTATCCCGCCGGGGGCGCGTCCTCACCGCGCATCGCCAGGGACCACGCCGCGCCGGCTGTTAGCACCCGGGTTATGGGAGAGCCCGGCGTGCATTTGGGAAGAGGGGAACCAGCACCGCGCTCCTACACAGAGGAGATAACCGCCGACGTCACGAAGCCACACGAAGCACTAAGGGCCCGTATCGCGGAAGCAGAGAAGAGACGTGCCGCCGCCGCCGCTGCCGCCGCCGCCGCCGCAGCCGCCTCCACGCCCACCGCGGCCAATGTTGCCGCCGCCTCTGCCGCCGCCGCGACTCCCGCGACTACGGTGACCACCGTGCCGACTGTTGAAGGACAGTACGCGCCACCCACGCCGCAAGTGCATGAACAAACGCCGCGACTGTCACGAGTGAATCAGGACACGCGCTCCGTCCGCTCGTCAAGAAGAAGGGCAGAAATAGAGGCCAAATTAAGAGTGGCCCGCCAGGAACTGGAAGTTGCCAAAGCGGAATTGGAGTTGGCCCAATTGGATTCCGACATGGAAGAGGATCCAGAAGAAGTGCAGTACAGGCAAATGCAGGTCGAAAATTGGTTGGACCACTCGAACACCATCGCCGAGAGGGTCCCGCCGGAACTACAACCGATACCGCCGCCGCCGCCCGCCGCGCCGCTGCCGCCGCCGCCACAAGTTCTACCGCTGCCGCCGCCACCGCCGCCGCAAGTGTTGCCGCCGCCGCCGCCACAGCCGCTACCTACGGAAGGGAGAACAGACATTCAAGAGTTAGCCATGGCCATCACCAAGCTGTCACAGAGGGCAGAGGGTGGCCTCACGAGACAACTGGTCGACCTCCCAAGTTTCAATGGCGCATGTGAAGAATGGCTCGCGTTCAGAAGGTCATATGAAGACACCGCGCGCTCCTTCACGCCGGCACAAAATTTGGCGCGACTACGAAGGTGTCTCCAGGGGCACGCGAGGGAGGCAGTCAAGAGCCTCCTGTTCACCGCCGAGGATCCAGAAGAGCTGATGAAGAGCCTGGAGGTCCGGTTCGGCAGACCTGGAGCCATAGCCCTGGCGGAGTTAAAGAAGATGGAAAGGCTGCCAAGGGTCAACGAGTCATCAGGGGAGATCTGCATGTTTGCCAGCCGAGTCCGCAATGCCGTGGCCACCATCAGGGCACTCGGCAAGACAGAATATTTGTGCGCACCAGGGGCCGTGGAGTGTCTAATAGAGAAGATGCCGCCGACCATGAAATCTCGGTGGCTGATGTACCAACGCGAGCGCCGGGCAGAGGGAAAACCAGCGCTCGAACTCATGTATGACTTCATGGAAGTTGAAGCAGATATTAACAGTGATTACGCTCCCCCGGAAGTGTCCTGGGACCAGAAGAGAAATATGTTCAAGAGGCCGGTTCACCATGTCCAACAAACAGAAGGACGCCGTGAAGAACCGAAGACTGACGCGAAGAAGTGCCCAGAGTGCCGTGAGGACCACTGGTTGTACGAATGTAAGAAATATAAGGAAGCCAGTGTTGAAGATAAGTGGGAAATGGTGAAGAAGGCAAGAATGTGCTTCAAATGCCTGCGCTTCAAGCACTCAAGGAACACGTGTCGGGCACAACCATGCAAGAAGTGCATGAGATGGCATCACATCAGTCTTCACTCAGAGAAGCCCGCAGCGGCGAAGACTCAAGAGAAGCCCGCCGAAGGAGTTGTATCGTCGGTGCACACCACGAGCTGCGGAAAGGCCTACTTGAAGATGACGCCGGTGAACCTCTACGGGCCCAAAGGGACAGCAAAAGTGCTCGCGCTCCTGGACGAAGGGTCCACCGTCACGCTGCTGGACTCATCAGTGGCGAAGAAGATTGGGGCGCAAGGGAAGCCGGAAGCCATCACCATCGAGATGGTCGGGGGGAACGGAATGGTGAAGAGCAACTCCCAGAAGATCAACATGAAGATCAAGGGGGTCCATTGTAGAAATAAACTCAACATGGAAGCGAGAACTATCGACAACTTGAAGCTGACCAAGCAAGGTGTCGAAGAAGGAATGCTTCAGAACTGGAAACACCTGAAGAAAATTAAGAAGAAGCTGGTCTACGACAAAGAAGTACCTAGACTTCTGATTGGGCAAGATAATTGGGGGCTGATAGTCACACGGAGACTACGCAGAGGGAAGGCCTCCGAACCAGTTGCCTCTTTGACCAGCCTTGGATGGGTTCTGCATGGATGCAACACTGGA